TTTTTTCCCCTCTTTTTGTACTTTTTTTTTTTTTCTGCCAAAACAGCATGTGGATTAGATGTATCTCCCCTTTTGTAAGTTAGCTACTGAACCTGCAGCAGAATTGCTGTTGCTGGGATCTGATGAGCCCTGAGGGCAAAACGGCTTTGAGGGAAGGAGTAAACATTTTGAACATGATTAGTAAAAAAAAAAACAAACAAAAAACCAAACCCAAATAAAAATACTGACCCAAAAGAACCAAAACAGGAGTTGTTAGATGGGCCAAGCATTCCTCATTCAAATCTATCTCTCCATGTTTTCCTGGTATAAAATAGAAAAGCTGTTTTTATATAATCGGAGTGTTTTAATTAAGTTGTAACCTCTGTTAGCTGATCTCCAATTAAACGAACCTTTTTCCCCCTCTGTGGCAAATTATCTTTCGGAAGACGAGTATCCGGTTTCAGTTCTTCAAAATCCTATTTAGAACATTCATCGGAAATTGGGGCTGGGTGATTTCAGGCAGGATATGATTGCTGGGTTGTGGATCATTAAGGGTGCCAGCTTTTCTGAGCAGCTACCAAATATGGCCAGAAACGTTTTGAAATGTGGCAGGAAGCCACTTTTCTACTGAAAGAGCAAAAAAAGACTCAAGTGCATCAGCAGCAATGTTTGCAGACAAAATATCAGTGTGCCAGATTATTTTTGTTTGTTTCTTTTTTGAAGTTTTGTCTATGTGTGTGGTTTTGCACATATGAATGTGCAAATCTGAAAAACAACCCCAATTGAGTGAGATGCCTTTACCCTGTAACATGTTGCCAGTTCACATTAGGTATAACAAAATCTGTCAATTCTTCCTCTTCTTCATCCTTTCCATTGAGATACTTCCTTTCCTTCCCACCACCCCACAGTATTTTCAATGCACCCATTGTTTGGAAGAGGTTTTTTTGCCATCTACTTTGGAGTTCAAGTGACATTAACCTTACCTTTGAAGACCAAAGACTGCAAAAAGTTTCTGTATTATTTAACTTGCTAAATCCTTCAGAAGGACTTTTGTTGTTCTAAAAGGAAGCTTTCTGTTTTAAACCTGAATAAAGGTTATGCACTGTTTAAAAATAAAATTTAGCTAACCCGAGCTTTTGAGTTACATGAATAGTTTCTTATGAAAGGATGGAAAAAAATAAGCAAATTGAAGCTGAAGTCTCCTAACTGGTGATACGGTCTTATGAATTTGTAAATCAAGTAGTACTTGATGATAGATGCTAGAGTTCCTAATGTTGTACCAGGATAAATTCATCCAGTTTGGTTTAGCGTTTTCCTTGTATTAACAACAATGTTGTGGGTTTAACTTGAATACTTCTTGTTTCCTTTAGAGGAAGCAAAATGAGATATTTTATATACGTGTGGGTTGACTTGGTGAGTTGGAAAAGGGAAATGCTTAAACATTGAAGAACTTGATTCTTACAATTATGTGTATGTTTTTCCTCTTCCAGAGTGAGTTCTGTACCAAAACCTGATCTTATTCATGTACCAAAGGTATGTTCATCATCACAACCAAGAACTGTAGCATGTAGCACTAACTGTTACCCATCTGTCAAACCCAGTTGTTGATAAGCACTGTCATTCAAACTTTCCTTTCAATATAACATGCTTGATTTCCATGTGTTACATTGAGTATTGCAGCATTTGAATCTTGAGTGATTCCCCTCCTCCCTCAAAAATATATAAATTGAGAGATTTGGAAAAAAAAAAAAGAGAATAAATGTTATTTTCCATCTCTTGGAACATTTATTTAGAAAGATATTGCTAAAGGTCTTCCTCTATCCCTAAGAAAGAAACAGTAGTAGGTTTTTTTTGGTGGGGGGGATTTTTTTTTATTATTTTTTATGTTGTTTTGATTTGGTTTTAATGGGCACTGAAATCTTCCTTTGTATTTGAAATAAGCTTATCTAAATATTAGAGTTTCAGAGAACAATTTCCTCACTTTCCTTAGAGCCCTGGGGAATTATTTGTTCTCGAGTTCTTCTAATCTTATGTTCTCAAGCAAGTTTTAACCCCCTCTTTTTGATAAGAAGGCTATTTGCAAACCTGAAGATCCTTACAAATGGCCTTTACTTGAAAATCCTCTCCAATAGGATTTTATATATATGTATATATCATATAGTAATATACTATATAAATAATATATAGTATATTACTGGTCTGCTGACCGTGATTTGAAAAGCCACAGTTTGGGAACCACCACGTTAAAACGTAACTCCCAGAAAAAAAAAAACAACACATTTTTTGAGTGTTTTGATCTGACAAGGGTCTATGAAAACGTTGGGGCACATTGATGGAGTGCAACTGGGAAAGCTCACTGAGTCCCGAAGCACCGGCCTCTAATAAAAGAGCTCCAGGGCTCTGGTTCTGCTCTTCGGGCCCGTATCAACAGATCGGTATATGCAGTGTGTACGTGTACAGCGCACATGCCGTTTGTGTATGGGGAACGTGCATATCTCGAATTGGGTTTGAGAGGTGGAATGTGGATTTTTATTAAAAACACTAATTTTTTCCACATGAGTTACCCAGTGGGTTTTGCAATAGAGTGGTTCTTCGGTTTGCCTTGAATTTGATTTGTGGGGTGTCTGTTTTGGATATGATGAGAGGAGTTAGCATCGTGGGATTTCCTATCCATTGTGCATGCTTGGACTATTCCCTTTCCTAGAACTCATGGCTCATTGTTTTTTTCATACGTTTCATGGCTGCAGTCTCGGTAAAGCTTGCTTCTGGGCTTCTTCCTTTCACGCTAGGCAGATCATCTCCCCTGAGAGCAGCGAAAATACCTGCCGAGGAATGTGCATGCGTTTGGCGTGGTTTTGTGTGTTTCTTTTTTTGTTTTTCATCTCACATAGGGAGAACCTGCAGAAGTAGTTAAGCCTGTGCCCATTGCCTCTGCTGTTGCACCCAAAGTCACTGCCACGGCCAGCGTGGCTTACAATAAGACACCGAGGCCGTTTGGAGCTGTAACCTCCTCCAAAGTCACCTCCATCCCATCACCGTCCTCCGCCTTCACCCCGGCCCAGGCGACGGCGGCGGCGGCAGCTCCGGCTGCTGCCCCGGCACCGTTTGCCGGT